GCAAGACTGAGAAATAGTTGCTTGGCTTGCCAGAAATTTATTTGATGTGCAACATAATACTTGATAGCTTGTCCCTGTTGAGGTTTTCGTTACGTGGTGCGACCATTTATCAGAGATTATTGTTATTTTTAGCTTAAATGCAATTCAGGCTTTCTTTTCTTTTTAGCCCCTGCTGGAATTTACTCCCAAACAAAAATAAACATAAAAGCTCACAACGGGATGCTATTGTGATGCCTTGGCATGCATGGATGGTATATGAAATTGTCAGTAAATAGTAGAAAGGAATTTGTTTTCAACCAAGCAAAAGTTAATTCTGTTTGATCTTGTAACCTTTGTGAACTGATGCACGTTATATCATTTCCTTTGTCGGTTAATATATGTGATGTTTTTACTCCACTGTGCGTCACTAAGCCCTGTAGCACACCTTAATTCAAAGTCCATTTCTTAGTAAACCACAATTCGAGAAGTGGCTGGACTGGACAGACTGTGATAAACAACAAGCCGTAAATATTTCGGATAATCATTCAAAATTCCGATCTAATCACGAAAAACAGATGACCCGAAACCTAGCTCTATACTTGGTTCATTCTTGTCAAAAGATCTCCAGCTTAACGGAGTTAAGGGTAGTGACATAAATTAGAGGCTGGGTGTTTCCACATAAAGTTTCACTTAAACGAGTTCCCGGATGCGATTTCACTGTAAAAAAATTGAAAATCTAAATAGAAAGTAAGCAATATGTGAAACCATGTTAGACCAGTTGGACAACATTTAAACGAGTTTAAATGTAGGTGTGAACTGGGCTTGTCAGACAGGCTTTGAAGGTCACATACGTGAATATACTTTGACAGATTCCGGAAACAATTAACACGCAGGGATTACTCGGCGAGTTTTTTTATTTGAAGTTTTAACCTTTTCCTGACTAGTACGCTTCGCTCTACTCTCTGGCAACAGTGTCAGGTACAACTGCAAAAGTGAGATAGCGCCACATTTCTCCCGCAATGGAAACGTTGTTCTTCTAGAAACATTTCTGTAAAACCTACGGAGCCCTGAAAGGAGAGAAGCGGTCAACAAGACTTGAAGATGAACAATACATCCGAACCTAACTCAAGCGCTACAGGAAGTTTCTCCTTGCCAACAAGTTTCGTCTATCCAGTTGCGACGTGCCATGTATTAATAGTGGCAGTAGCAATCGTTGGAAATCTCATGGTCTGTTACGCAATAGCTGCCCACAGAAACCTTCGCAAAATTCCAACAAACCTCTTTATTTTCTCGTTGGCGTGCTCAGATCTTCTTACCGTGTCTCTTGCCGTGCCATTTGACATCGAGGGACTGTTTTTAGGAGGGGTTTGGAAACACGGAGAAAGAATGTGCAAGGCCTGGATCACGGTTTACCTCATCACTGTACCTACCTCGATTTTGACCCTTTTGGCCGTCAGCGTTGATCGTTACAAGAGCCTTAGTGATCCTCTGAATCGCTTTCGTCGTTGCGGGTTCATGACTCGAAGGAAAGCTGTGATTATCAGCCTCATTATCTGGTTATACAGTTTGCTGTTCGCTTTACTTCCCATCATGGGCTGGCGTACACACGAGAAGTTCGTCTACAACAGCTTCTGCTATTTTCCTTTCACTCCGATTTACTTGACGCTAAGTTCTTTACTAAATTTTATTTTCCCGCTTCTAATGGCCTGTGCATTTCATTTCAAGATTTACCATATGGTGTGTATACAACTTAGGGGCTTTCAAGGAAATGAGCCAACCACAAAAGAAAGAAAAGTTTATTTTAAAAACGTTCGAGGGGTAAAAACTACCACCATGTTTGTAGCGGCTTTTTTCTGTTGCTGGTTACCATACTCCTCGGTAAGCATTGTCGCCGTTCTCTGCGAGTCGTGCGGGTCAAACATCCCAGCCGAGGCCAGGGTAATACTGCTCATGTTTGGTTATCTCAATTCCGCGCTGAATCCCTTTCTGTTTGCTTTCCGTAGCAAGCGCTTCAAAGCTGTGTATCCGAATATGTTCAGTTCGCTCAGGCCTCAGGCTCGACCCGATGGTACTCAGGCTGTACCCTGCGGGTAAATTGAAACCCTCGGGACAAGAAAAAGCCGTTAAGTACCTCAGAAGACTTCCGTCTATTAAAACATGTCGACCGTTGTCTGGAATGCAAGAGCCAGAAGCATGTGAGGCAGATGAGATGTTTGTTAGCAGTAGTAGTGTTACGCATCTGGGAACTCTCGTTGAATAATAACTTGAGTGTTGTTTTAGTAACAAACACAGCGTGATCAAATGCTCATTAATCTTGATTCCTTCATAATTAGTTTCAGGAATTTGCCAAAAAAGATTAATGACAGAAAGTGGGGAAAGATAGATTGTTTGAGCCTTGTTATAATTCTCACTGGTTACCATTAAAGCCTTTATTTTCACAAGGTTTCAGTTCGCCAGTTATTTGAATCCAGCGTTCCTTCTATAAATTCCACTAGCCTCCCACGCAGACGCTCTTAGGGCTCGTCACAAGCGTGGGAAGCTGAGACTGAAAAGTTCTCGTTTTTTCGACGATAACCCTGCATTTGTGTTCGGGCGAAAGTAGAATGTCGTCTATCATCGCAAGGATAAATTAAAACTGAAGAAAACAAAGCTCTCACTTACACCTAAAAGGCATTAGGATAACTCACGTTTCACTCGCAAAACAGTCCACTTTTAATACGAGTTCTTTAAGGCCCCGTCCACACTACGCCGAAGCAATTTGAAAATGCAACTTTATTTCTACGGTTAGGCCCACCGTACCGTCCACACTAATCCGTCACGAAAACGGAGCGTTTCGAAAACGTTTTTCAAACCGGAGGAATTTGAAAGTCCTGGCTTTGCGTTTTAGTGGGAACAAAAATTTTGAAAACGAGACTTTTCGAAGACGAGGAGGACATAATAATCATATGATTTACATGCAGGAATATCTTAGGCCCAGTATACAGTATGCCGGAGAAATTAAAAACGCGACAATCATCGGTCATTTTGGATTTGTGTTTGAGGACACACTGAACCTTACGGAAAAGCTAGGAGGCCAAAATGTCACGTCCCTCAATGAATCCATTACCTATTTTATTCAATGCCATTCAATGAATACATTGCCAAGCTGAAAGCTTCAAAGAAATTGTCAATCTCGTTCCCAGAGGCCACGATCCTTTTGCGGGTAACATCCAGCATATTGTCCTTTCTCAAAATGTTTGCTGATGGCACAAGGGTGTACAGACAGCTGTTTAACCTCGAAACCGACATCCGAGCCCTCCAATCCGATATCGACCGCTTGGCTGACTGGTCATCATGCAGTGGCAATCAGAACAGTTAGATTCAACCCAGAGAAATAACTAGAAATGCATATGCGTGACAATGCGCATAACTCCCAACCGCGACAACTCACTATCCTGGGTGTTCTGATATCGTCGGACTTCTTGTGAAGCGCACATGTTGACGCTGTTGTTTCAGTTTTTAATTTCCTTCAGGGGGTACTAAGGTACAGCTGAGGACGTTATGTGGGGACTTACACCACAATTTGCCAGTGCAGAGCGTCTCGCGTTTGGTCATCGCTGACCGAACGCGCGGGATCTGGAGACGAGATATTCAAACTTCAAGGAAATTTCCTCTACATACCAACTGAGTATTTTAGGAAAGGCTATCAAGTCCTACTGACTGTTACAAAATAAGCTTTTTATAAATATAAATTAACCGCCGAGTTTTTGAAGCTGACGCTCAGAGCTTTAGCCCTTCGTCAAAACAAAGTCGCTCTTTGCGCTCTTTTAAATTAGGGAAATGGGCTTGGATTACGCTCGCAGGAGAGGTTACCGGGATAGCTTAGAAAAAGGATGCAATCTCTAGCACCACCACGTGACTTGTCCTCCATTGCGAGGTATAACAACGGTTGCAACGAAAGACAACCAGTTGAGGAGAGAGCAAATATACTGAGCTGCGAGGAAGGCCCCCATCAAAAGGCACACTCATGAAATGAATCAGTCGAATACAACTATAGCTTTACTTTGTTACTGTTATAATACAAGAAGTAGCCCCTAAAACAGCGAAAATCAAACCAATTTAACCATAATCCAGTAAACATGAATGAATGTACATATTTTAATGAGTGTTTTCATTGTTTCGTCTTTCTTTTCCCCTTGCGAGTTTTATGCTTTTTAGTCTTAGAATCTACAATCTGTTGAGAGTAGCGCTTTATGGCGTTTCTAGAGAGGACATCTTCATCATCTCCGCTCTCCTCGTCATCTGAAAAAAAAAGTTCAGGTCGTTAACAACTGTCAAGTTAGCAAAATTCTTTTTGTTACACCACGTATCCGCTATTCTGTCTTGTAGAACAGGACCATCCCAACACATGAACGGCAAATGACAATTTTTATCTGCAGTAAAGGTCTGGGCCTAGACTGAAAAAAATGCTGGCATTATCGGAGTAGATAAAACAGAATAAAATCTAATATGTAACATATCTCATCTATCTCAATCGGTTAGCCAGTGGCAGTTTCAACTAACTGTACTTCCTGGCAGGCATGCGAAGGGGTACCATAGAACCCAAGGTTTTGGGAAGCGCGCGCCCTATATACGTGATTTCCTTTTGTATACGCCAACAACACGTACATCGGCTACAGCTATTCGTGTCCGTACTTCTAAGCCCTTTTGTTCTGAAAAATTTTCCTTACTACGTGCAGACATTCCTAACTTACCATCGTACACAGCCAGGCGATCAGAAGTCATGGGTAGCTTAACTCGNCTTTTGTATACGCCAACTACACGTACATCGGCTACAGCTATTCATGTCCGTACTTCTAAGCCCTTTTATTCTGAAAAATTTTCCTTGTTACGTGCAGACATTCCTAACTTACCATCGTACGCAGCCAGGCGATCAGAAGTCATGGGTAGCTTAACTCGGGTGTTAAACTGCGGCAACTTGCCCTCCATTGTGGTACGGAACTGAAAAACAACAGACCCATTTAGCGATTTCCTCTTACCTGCTGTTAGCCAGGTCACAAGAATACAGATCGTGAAAATCTTAGAATAAAAGAGCGTTTCAACCCAAACTCTTCAGATCTCGAGAAGGAAATGAAATGAAAGGCATTAGGGAAAATATCTGTCATGCCGAGGTTTTGAGAACTAATTCGTTTGAAAATTATGTTCTGAAGAAAATATATGACACTGGAATTATCGAAATTTCTTTCTACCCAACAAAATGATGCCCAAATAACCCGAGAATTTGAGCATTACCTCAGCGTCTTCCATTTCTTTCATGACGTCATTGATATCCTTTCCTCCTAAGTCATCCATTAACTTGAGTAGCTTCTGTTCACAAGTACCAAGTAAGTCCAGGATGTACTCGTCGGAGGTTGGGGACAACTGAGCTTGGGGCACGTGACCTTTGGGCTGTAGACAAAAAAAAGTGGGATAGTTTAACGAGGGAAGCGATGAGGTTCGTGAACGAAAACGAAAATGGACTATTTGAATTGAGAGTTTTCGGTACCCATTTAGTAAATTAATACACAGCATGTCAAAGCGGTTTTTAGCCATAGCCAACAAATACCATCGTAAATTATACATAAGCACTTGAAGCGAAAACATGTTACGTTAGGGTGGAAAGCGCGGGAAATTATATAACGAGTCGCAGGCGTGGGAAAACTTAAAACCTGTAATCGATGGCAAGCGCGGGAAAAGTCGCGTGTGGGCTGCATGTTTTTGCTTCGAGTTCTGATTGGTTTATTAGACTACATGCGTGTGTTGTGATTGGCTAAATCAGTCAACTTTAGTCTCCAGTATACGACAACTGGGTGTGATCTCCTTCCGAAGTCGATAAAAAAGCTCCACATAGGTACGTGAGTTCATCAAATTCACCTTCATTACATTGAATCAGTCTATCGTTTTTTGTCCTCTCGAGTTTGAAGAAACCTAACAGATGTCAGTGGCGGATCTAGAGGAGGGGCCTGGCGGGAGGAAAAGACGGCAGGGCAAGCAAAACAAAGCCGCCTCCTCTAACCCCCCACCCAACCCCCTTAGCTGAAGGTCTGGATCCACCACCGGATACATGATTAGTTCTTACCGCTTTAAGGTGTTGCAGTTTATCAGCCAAATGCTCAATTCCAGCTTTAACGTTAACCAGGGTTTTGTTAGCTCGGTCCTGACGGTCTTGTGAATCGGCACATCTGCAAACAAATCAGTAATATAGGATTATTTCACAAAAAGCATTGCTGGGGTTCTTCATAATTTGAAACATTCATTCCACGACAAATGTAAAAAATAACTTTTCTTACCGTTTTTCCTCGTCAGCAAGGCGTTGCTGAAATTCCTCCAGCATTCTCTGTCCACTGAGGAATAGAAATAATAAAGATTACTACAAGGTATTTACACCGTCCAGAGCTTCCACGTTTCACAGCTTGTGTAACAAGGATTACTTAACTCTTTTTCTTCACTGCTTAAGACTTTTTAGTGCATAAGTTGATTCAAAATGCCGAAACTAAACCGAGATCTGATTCAAACCGTATAAAACTCTTCAACACTTAGCAACAAGTGGTTAAAGTTTAGCTATTTTGCAATCACTGATTGATAGGATGATTGTACAATTTTTATGCACAATTCTGACGATTAAATCTGTGAAAATTAAATGACAAGTCCAAGGGAAGATATAAAAAAAGTCTCACTCTAAATGGACAATATTTACGCAATAACTGTTGTACCTGGACAACTTCGCTTCTCCAGAATATTTCATCTCCTCATACTCCATTCTTAGCTTCTCCTAAAGAGAGTGATTACATTTGACAACAATTAAATAAACAAACACACAAATAAACAAATAATTTGCAACTAAATGATCATAACATGTAATATGTATTTTCTCTACAACAGCAATAAATAAGTCCAACAGAGAGATTTTTCAGGATACTGCAACATCAAAGTAAACCCAAGCCTTGAAACGGTACCTTTTCTTCCTTTAACCTGACAAGCATCTTTTCATTGTTAGTCTTGAGCTGTTCCAGGTGCTTCTGTGTTTCACCCTGAGACAGAAAACGCTGCACCACCTCCTTGATGTCAGACACCCCTGTAGTGTCCTTTATCTTGTTCATGGCTTCCTCGTATGTTGTAATCTTACGTTCTTGTTCCTCACCAGACAGTACTGCTTTCTGTTCTACTACGGGACAAGAAAAGAAGGTTTGTTTGTTTGGAGGTAAGAATAAATACCACACATACATGATCAAACAAGTAAATGGTAGACTGAAGAAATTCCAAAACTAAAGTATTTGCATAACAGTTAGGGGTCTGTTTCATCAAGTCTCAACTTTTGATGTTTAGTCCTTCAAGCAATCTAATAAGAGTTTCACACCTGTTAGTCAAAAACTTTGATCTTATATACCTACTGGTGCTTACATACCAATTTCTCATACTTAGCCAACAAATTTGAGCTAGTCATACACACTTTCAAAAAACATGTAAACTTGAACTGATGCAAGAAAAGAAAAGTCCATGTATGTGATGCTACATCTTCCCAATTTTCTGATTTTAAGGGAAGAGTGCTCGTGCTGTGTTCTTTCAATTGCAAATCTTTGGAAAGTCCTGAAAAACCTTTGCATGTCTTTGAATATGGTCTTGTGTTCTTCAAACTCCTGGCACTATAGCTCCAAAAAGGTCACTGCAGGTACATGTATATCTGATAAATGTAATTGTTGTGACTCACCCGTAAGATCCTCCTGCTGAAGAGAGCTTCTTTGCAGCTATTAAATAGATGAACAGAGCATGGTTAACAGAACTACCACCAAAAAAGTAAGATAATGGTAATCTTTATGGGTTCCTTTGTGAATTTTGTTGGGTGGACTTGATTGGAGTAGTCACAGTGTAACATGGTATGTCTTGTAACCACCCTGGATAATTTATTCTTACCCGTTTTTCAACTTTCTCGGCATGATCTTTCTTCTCTTCAGCTTGTTTCTTGTACTGGGCCAATTCCCTTTCTCTCTCCTTTTTCCTCTCATACACTGACTGCTCCAGCTTAGAGAGTTCTGCCTTTGCAGCTTCACGAGCAATCTGAGCATCATGGTTCATCGCATTCAGTTCTTTAAGTTCTTCCCTTTGAGCATAAATAGCTCTCTCAAGATTATTGAGCTGATTAGGCCAAGTGCGGCGCTCTTCCTTCAATTGCTCCAACAGACCCTCGTAGATTGTCTTGATTTTCTTCCCCTCATTTAACTTCAGCTGCATTTTGTCAAGGCTGTTCTCCAAAGCACGTAGTTTCTAGCATAGGGAATAAATTTACAAATGAAGTCATAAATTCAAAGAAGAAGAATATTAGTAAAATTAAACTTCACATTAAAACCAAATGTTTTTTTTCAAGCATTGATGCCGCTGACATTGTGTAGTTGTAAGGAAAAGGACAGTACCGCATTTGAAAAACATGTAACTGTTTCGACAGAAACATCTGTCATCGCCAGTTACAACAACTCGAGTTACTAGATGTAAATATAAATAAAATATGTTAACTTACTATAAATAAAAGTTTGTGACACCAGGTGTTACTTTTACTATACTAATGAATGACTTTATACATATTAAATAGAATAAAGATGTTGACTTAACAAAAAACAGAACCAAGACAATGTTGTGTAATTGTTGGTGTAATAAGCCAATTTCAAAAGATTCTCACAACAAAAATTATTTTGGTGCTCAGACATGCTGTTTGGCCATACTACAAAATTTATAGAATAATTTCAAAATTTGGTTGGACAATGTTTGATGACCAGCTGTTATATCCAGCACTGATAATGTATCTTAATAGTTTTATTCAGCCTCAGTACCTGTGCCTCAGCTGATTCTCCGGCATCTGTGTTGGACACTTCTTCAGCATCCGTGATCAACTGATTGTACTCTGTTTGCAAAAGTTCCAGTTTCTTCTGACGAGTGTTTTTCTGGTGTTTCAAAGCATTCAGCCTCTTGACTGCCTCACACACTTGCTGGTCCAGTTTAGTGATAGCAGCCTGTAACAGACATGTTGTAAATTAAGAATAGCAAAACCATGACAAACTGGTCTAAAATAATACAGTGCAGATCAATCACAGGCTTTTATTAATAATCCTCTCATAGGTGAGAAAAAAGAGGGAACCTCTGCTCATAAGTGCTTGACCCTAAACCCTAACCCTAAGCAAAGTGCTTAGTCCCTGTTATTAGTCCCTGTTACTTGATTCAACTGTACATGGTGAATTACTAGATTGCTGATTTTTTATTTTTATGTTTTTTTTAAAATTTGTTACAACAGAAATTTCATAGGGTTCTATGAAGTGCAATATGGAATATCAAGTGTTGGAAGTCAAGTTTGCATATGGAGTAGAACAGAAGACTATAATTTGCTATACCTTGCCTGACATGCCTCTCATTGCACAGTGTCTTTGTGGATCTCTTTCTTTGAATGCATCATCAATTACTTGTTCATCTCCCTAAAGATAAAGACAAGATTTTAAAAAAAATGGCAAAGGTATCCATTTTACCAGTAATTTAAGGGGATCCAGGGGATCACATTTTTTCATAGGAGTGGAGTAGGAGATGGAAGAGACTGTAAACCTCATCCCCCTTGCCTTGGGATTCACATCTTCAGTAATCTCAATAACTCCCCCAAAATAAGAAATATATCAATTTTAAAAGGTGGAGGGATGAGTGCATTTTAATTCTCCCACCCCCAAAAGAGAGGTTGTGTGCCTTTTTGTTTTGTACAAGTCTATTTCAGGTGGACTATACCCAGGAGTAGGGTTGAGGTGATTTTAATTCTCCCTCACCCATAGGGAGGTTGTTTGCCTTTTTGGTTTGTACCAGTCTTATTCAGGTGGAGCATACCCAAACCTCCTTAAGGCCTTGCTTAATTACATGAATCATTCCCTGATTTTTAAATAACAGGTACCATGTATTTGCATGTAGCATTTGTGCTTTTATAAAATTCATTTCTACAACTGTGCAAATCAAGATATAGAAATCATGACAATCAAGTTACCCTATGAAGCAAGCATGTACAACAATGTACGTATAGTATAGTATAGTGTAGCATAGCATAGCATAGCATAGCATAGCATAGCATAGCATAGCATAGCATAGCTAGCATAGTGTAGCGTAGTGTAGTACAGTATAGTATAGTATAGTATAGTATAGTATAGTATAGTAGAAAATAGTATAGTATAGTATAGTATAGTATATAACATTTTCATTAGTTAATAATAGAACTGAACCTTATCACAAATTAAACCTATGCAAATGATGTACATGTACATTTTCACTTACAGATTTTCACTGTTTCTACGTTAATGGGACATTCCATTTTATTTCTTACCCACACCCGTTATGGAAGGCAACCTCTGACACAGGGCCTGTCAGAATATTTTTTCAAAGAAGCCGACAAAATTTTGAACCCCTCGGATGCAAACTTCAAAGGTTCCGACAACAAAAAACTANGGGGGGGGGGGGGGGGGGGGGGGGGGGGGGGGGGGGGGGGGGGGGAGGGTGCGGATAAAAAATGGAATGTTGCAATGCATGCCCTTTCCCATTAAGTTCTTACTTACCGCCTTTTTCTTTGCCAAATCGGAACGCAGACGTTTATTTTTCTCCCTCAGTTTGACGATTGTATCTTTATTCTTTTTCATAGTCCATTGAGAACTTTCGTAGTAAGCTTTCCTGTCCCCATCTGTTTAGATTTAATATCAGAGCGAACTAAATGAGTTTACATTAGAAGTATTACACAACTCAGTTTGAATAATACTGTATTTCGATCTTTCATCATCATTGGAAAACGATTAAGAGAAGAAATTAGTTGTACAGAAGCAAAATTTGGTCAGCTTGTGGCCATGAGAAAAACAGTCCAGCAAATTCATCGATTCATGTCAAAGTGAACACAAAATTGTGACATCCTCACACTTTGCCTGAAAATGTGGTCGATCAAGGCTTACCTAAAAGGGCAAGCTTCTTTTTGAGCTCTTCGATCTCTTCTGTAATGGGAACTGCTCCCTCCGACATATTTTCCGCTCTCTGGATTGAACTTCAAACCTATAAACACTTCCAACAAAACGAAATGCACACCTATCACCAGTTTGTTTCTCTGTGAAGCAACTTCATCTCCTTGACCCGTTGTCAAGACAACCGTACAAAATATCGCGCCTGTGTCAACAGCGGTAATGACTGGCCAGTGATGAACGCAGTCCTAAATTTTCTCAGCCAATGAAAAAGCGATATTCGATACCGCGCAAATTTACAAAATGGCGGCAAACATCCAGTCAAACACGGGTAATGCTGAAGATTGCGTTTTGAACTCTTTGAAAGCGAGAAATGAACCTCTTACTTTAGCCGAAATATTGGAGATGTCCTCGTTTCCTTCCCGACAAATTGAGAAAGTATTACAGCGTTTGGAATGCGAGCAAATAATGTAAGCGTTTACTCTCTCTGGGGGCGCAGCCGAGCTAAGCTCAGAGTTAAAAGCTCAAAAAGCTTATTAAGTTTTTTATTTTGGTCAATCTTTTTGTAGATGCAGCCACTTCACTGCTAAAGAAGACACCAGGGTTTATTCTCTGAACGCCAAAGATAGTGATACGAAATGTTTCTTGGGAACGCAAAATACTACAAAGCCGAACACAACACCTGGGACGTCAAGGAAACGACCTTTGGTCTCAAGGCAAATGTCAGCAGTTTATAAGCTTAATTAGATGACAGCTTTGATTTATAATTATGTATCGATCAAATAGAGGCATCAACCTTACCCCACCCTGTATTTGACAATTTCTTGCCCCCCGGGAGTTAGGAATTTGCCATCATTGGTTGTCATTGTGAGCGTTTGAAACCTTATGGGAAGTGTAGGGAGAATTTGAGTCATCACGAGACAACGACGTACCTTACTGTTGTGGCTGTGTTTTCAAATAATTCAAAAGTTTTGCATGTGAAAATATAATCACTAGCATATTTATACAACACTGACTCATTTACTCCTTTATATTTTTACAGGAGCAGTTCCAAATTGAGGCAACCTTTTAAGTCACCTGTAAGTAAATCAGTTTCACAATCGTTTGAGGTTGTAGGAATCCTCTCTCATTTTGTTGGGCCAACTTTTTATATTGCAATAAAATTTGAATACACAATCTGCTCAACCCGGGGGAAGGGGGGGAGGGGGACTCCCATATAAAAATGACGGGGGTGCTTGTTGGAAATTTTGGAAAGAACCCCTACGAGATACCAAGATCCTGATTTTTGGGTGTGGCTTGAAATTTTTTCCACTCCTGAGAGGTGCCAATTCTAAAACAACACATTATCTGCTGTCATATTTTTTTTCTCAGCTCAGTACCCTAAAAAGTACTGCAAAAGCTCCCGCTGTGGACCTTTTGAGGCTGAACACCTTAAGAGGTACCAAAACTGCTTTTTTAACCCCTAAAACGTACGACGAGCACCCTGTGATTTTTATATGGGAATTCCCCCCTCCTGCCCCGGGCTGCTTAACTGCTTTAAAATATAGTGACAAGTGGCTTATGACCATAATACCGGTATAAACCTTTCATGGGGAAAAATATTGTTGTCTCAAATAAAATGAGGAAAGAAGGAGCATTAGGGAGGACTGTATGGAGGTTTAATAGCACCTAACAAATTTCAAGACCCCTTTCAAGACTGAATTTAGTTGATTGTACTCAACTTTTCAGCTTCAATCAAGACAACAGAGCACAGTGGTTGCAGACAAAGGTTCACTATTTGAAGAAATTGATGATTTAAATGGAAAGTTAGAGATCCTAAACAATGACATCGCAGAACTCAGTAAAGAGTAAGTTGTTGATCGTGTTATTATAGTTGCTTAACTGTTAACTCAGAATATTTTACTTCGAACTTGAACTCCATCTAAGAGTGTCTATTGAATCCAGATTTTTTTTACCATGTGATGGGCAGGTACAGTGAAGAAGAGCTTCAGCAGCACATACAGAAGCTTCATGAATACAATGAGATCAAGGATGTGGGCCAGCTTCTCATCGGCAAATTGGGTAATTTAAAATAAACATGATTCAGACTTGTGAGAAAATAATGCCATTTCCTATTAATTAAAACTAATAATCTTTAAGTGATCATCACACCTGATACCGGAATATTGAACTTGACAATTTGCTGTCATGAAGATGGCAAAATGTTGTTCTCTTCTGATTTTGCTAGTTTTTATTTTGAAAGGTTACTAATTAAAACATTTTATTTGGATGGCCTTATGGGTTGAACCTCTGTCATTATTGTCAGCAAGCATGCCACAGGATGGGATATTGTCCCAAATCAACAATAATACTGTGCATCTAAGTGGCACCACTTGGTGTGAAAACATGGCTTATTTGTCAGCAAGCTTTCAATGCAATTGTTGCATTGGGTGCATAGGGCATGATCTGTGCCGAAAGCTATGTATAGCTTTTAGATTTTTGCATACATTGCGGCTTATGTTAGGGGGAATGGCTGCTCAGTACCACACTGTCAAAAACAAGTTTTATAATTTTTATTTTGTGTTTATTCACAGCTGAGATAAATGGCACTACAACAAGAGCTACGTATCAAGAATTTGGATTAGATCTTGAAGACTAAATTACCATGAGGTAGTGCAATAATTTCATTTGGAGGATGAGGGTAAATGCTAGCACTGTAAGATTACTTGTAATATTCCCACAAGAAAACAATCAGCATGTTCATATCACTTGTACTTTCGGTTTGAATTGAAAGTATATGTGTATGAAATTTGTTAGGCAATTCCAAATCATTTCTATTGTACAAAAATTTCTTATGATAAGTCATAAACAGTGTAACAAGACTGTGTGTCTGACTTTTAGTCAGAAATTTAAGCATGGTTGTGCCTTACTTGCTAACACGTTACATGTTTCTACTTGCTTGGAAATATTGAACTTTACAAAGGTTGACCTTACAGCTACATACTCAAACAAGAAAGTACTTAGTAAAAATTAAATAGGTCAATATTAGTCTTATGATTTTGTCACTCATGGAAAATGGTGTTAACACAGAATGCAAGTTTCTGCAAAAAGGTCTTTTTTTTCAATCAAAGGCTTTAAGCCATTTCTAACTCTGCACACACAGTGATTTTCTGGACCTTTTCCATTACAGCACAATAGGCTTGTGAAGTCCCCATTCTGGATGGATAGTAAAATGCCGTCCATAGGCCCTGTGAGGCTGTGTGAACATGGAACTCTTGTTTATGGCAGCATCACTTGGTACCTTGTAGACCGGAAGATGGTGCCATGTCTGGAACTGCTGTCGCACATGTACTGGAAGACGCTGTCTGGCTTTCTGGTAGTAGGACTGTTTGGTGATGTCTGGAGCCCTCTTGGGATTGTACAGCAGTTTACCCCGCGATGCAATCGTGTCCTCCCTGTGGAATACCAAGCATGGGGCAGAGTATGAAAAAATCTTGTTTCATTTTTCATTTTGTATGAAATAATATTTAATATTATTTAATGTGTCACTGAGAGTTATTAGTGACTGTAGGTAACTGACAGTGTTGTCTAGAAGAGAAATATTATATTTGAGACTAGGCATTGAAACATTAGCATTCTAAGGAAATTCCAGAACAGTTTTATGACACAGTAAACCATGGTGTAAGCATGTATTGTATAGACCACTTACATTAATGAGTATTGGCCCATTGGAACAGGGGACAACAACATTGCTTCACACAGGTTGACATTTCGGAATTTAACAACTAATGTACAGTACCTTGCAAGTGCCTCTAGAGTTTCCTCAATTCTTCCACTGTCGCAGATCTCACAGTTACCCTCTGAGAGGTCATGGTTTAATTTGAGCGTACCCATCTTGTCTGCCTTTACTCCAGACAGGGTGCTAAAGAACTTCAGTGCCAACTCGTGCTCTTAAACAAAAATTGAATAAAAACACCACAAGCTTCAACTTTAAAAGTAACAATAATTATTATTAAAGTTGATGCTCAAGGTGTTTGTTCTAAATTTAAAAAGTTTAGGTTGATCCTTTGCCTGAGCAAATCAGAGTGAATCTTATAGAACATTAAATTTATATTATGGTGATAAAAATAATTTGTGCTAGTTACCATGTCAATTTAATTGGACATTTTACTTCATTGAAACCCTACAACTTACATCAGTAGCTGTGTTCTAGAATAATGGTAGCATGCAACCTGAGGCAGAGGGTGATGAAATGTAGGACTATACCTGACAATGAGCAGGCTAAGATAAGAGCTGCCCAAAGATAAAAGTTTTTCTTGCAGTAATATAATATTTATATAGCAGCAAGGGCATCTATGAAAACTGTGAACTTGTGTATGCTTTGTGCTCTGGAAGTGTTGGTCCAACTTGTGGTAGTTGCCAATGTAATAATAACTTACATCTCTTAAAACTCCTGTATGGTACATGTAGTTGCAACTTACAATAGTTTAGTTAAAACATTAAAAACAGAAAGCAGAATATCTAAGAATTAAAATATTCATTAACCTTTGTCAGTAGCTGTTTTCAACCATTTATCCACTGCTTCCAGTGACTGGGGATGAATTGTCTTCTTGATGGACTGAAAGGGAGAAGGGGCTTTAAAAATACATGCAGAAGGAAATTAGGAAATCAACACGTGTATTTAGCAATACTAAAAAAGACCTAGTATGAAATAAACACAGTGGTTTATGCACGCATTTCCAGCACAACCTAATGTTATTATAGTCATGTGGGGTAAAAACTGCACTTAAATTTAATCCATATTGGGAACAATTGTTTTTGTTTCCCTAACCTCCATCCCTCACTCCTTCCAGCAGCCTAACACCAGAGAAATCTTATCCTTGGCTAATTCTTACATTCCCCTGCCTACTAGTATTGTTAGTGACAACCCTGTTAGCAGAATGTTTATAACACTTGATACAGTGTGTGCTAGATCTTCATTTTCTAGTCCTCTTCTATAATAATTGTGCAAAACACAGCAGTAAGAGCACTAGTAATCATCGCAAAATTAACTATTTCTTGTAAATGACTTGACCACTTGCCAGACCACAAAGCTCTCTGTAAGTGCAGGTCATGCCAAAACCACAACCAAGTACTGTGGCTGAATTACAATGACACATTGTTCGCAATGGGAGCCCTTCTACCACATACCTTCTCAAGGGCAACCTTCTTTGCCTCTGCCATATCTTGCAAAATACTTTTATCTATGTAAAGGAAGGTATTTCATAAGGCTTACATTGTATAAAGAGTTTGACTGAGGAATTTTGTATTCAGAAAAATACTTCTATTACTTTTTGCCAGCTTACCTTGCCCGTTTGGGGTTCCCATGGCAGGCAATGAAGTCTATACATTATGACAAAGTGAGTAAACAGACCAGATTAAATATTAGTACAAGAAGGGTAACTCAATACTGACACCCTATTCAGAACAAAGCTTAAATTTACATTTGCTTTAAATTTACCCATGTATGTTAATAGTTGGTCTGACCGTCTGAACAGGATAGAAGCTGAGATGAGTCACATGAGGAATTGTTTGAGATTAGAGGGCCGTCCAGGGGTTTTAGGGAATAAAAAAACATGATCACTTACTTGAACCAGTGGTGTGAGTTTCCTCTGCAAGGGACTTTTCCTTACAGAGTTAGCAGCAGACTCCAACCTTGGTACTAAATTATATGCCAAATAACATCCTTGTTAGTATTTACAACACTATTTAACTCCAGTCCAAATTTATAACTTACAAATGTAAGTAAAATAAATAATATTGTACTCTTTACAAGTCTTTGACTTACAGTCATCCTTTTCCCTTGAGAATGGTTTCATCTGTGCACTGCCTAGGGATTGTCTACTGAGTGCAGACATTCTGGACCCTAACTTCCCTCTCTCGGCCTCACATCCACCTGAGATTTAATTTAAAATAATATACCAGTAGTTAATGATAATCCCTAAATATAATCTTTCAAGACTAACATTGAGACAGTAAGAATAAAGCCCTGTAATTATTCAAAATAATTCACTAAATGTGTTTACATTGTGCGAATAGTTGACAGTTACCATACATGAGTTGCACAAATCTTAAAAAGGCCTTCACGGTATTACATTCTCAATGAAAGTTTGCCACCATAGGCCACAAAATATATAAAAAACACACACACACACTTAAACAATGAATGTTCAGCCCTGAAACAAGATGTGACCACACTATCCTCATCTGAACAAGGGTAAATATATTCAAGATACCAGTAGTTCATCGCACCTGGTGACAGTGGCTGATTACCAGTACTTCTATTCTGTTGAATCAGTCGTGATGGAACATTCCATCCCATGAAACTCTGAAAATGAGATGATATGCAGGGCTGTCATTAAGTTTTGAGTCACTGGTAGCCTTGATCTTCACACCTGTAACCAACTTGATACCTTGTGAGTGAATTGAATCAACTATAGGGAAGTTCACCTGTAGCATTAAGGGCCCATCATACATTCTCAGCTTTGGCCGGTGTTATAGGTTACGGCCCTTTTTGACAGCCCTGATATGTATAGGTTTGCTAATTATCAGCAAGTTATAATCCTGATAGAATACATAGTTTAACTATACCAGGTTGTCTGCCTGATAGTTTGAACAAAATTCATCTTTCTATCAACCTTAACCTTACAGCTGTATGTGGTTAACTGCTGGTATGAAACAACGCAGTTTTCTTTGCCAACTTTTCCCCGCATTTCAACTTTCCCGTGCCCCCACTAACTGCCCCTTGGTCTCCAAGGATGACCTTTCCCCTCCACAAATACAGTTGGACCTGGCTTATTCGAACTTATTTTGAATTCCCCGTTATTTTGAAATCAAAACCATTTTTCTTGGATTTGCCTTTCAGTCATACACTATCGGCTATTTCGAACTCCCGCTATTTCGAACAATTTTTTGTACCCCCTGAGAGTTTGTAATAGTGGGGTTCAGCTGTATGTATTTACACAATTTCACAGACCTTGATTTCAAATTGAAGCAACCTGTGCCTTTTGAAAATGAAAAACTTGACTATTTAAAAAAATATATCAAACTTCATCCAGCTCATTGGCTACCAGGATTCCAATCGACATTGGCAGATTTATAGCCCTTCCCAAATGTTTACTTAAATGCAAGCCATTTCTGGTTAGTGTGGTCATATATTAGGGTCGTTTACTATTACAGTTCAACCTCCCGTAAGCGACCACCCATAATGTCAAGCCCAGGTGGTCACTTACAGTAGGTTGTCACTTACGAGAGCTTAGACCATATTGGGTCAAAATTTTGCCTCAGTAGCGTATGTTAACTGCAGACATTTATTCCAGGTTTTAAATGTTTTATTCATGTAAAAAGTCAATTTTGAGAAAAAAAATAAACTTTACCTCCCGTTGAGAAATTTCCATCTCTTGTACTACCCAGGAATGCGATAATGTTGCAACAACTTATTATTCAATTTAGGCACTATTATCTGTCAAGTGGTTACTTATGGGAGGTTTAAAACAAAAGAAAGTTTCAAACTTTTAGCTCTGTAAGTGGTCGCTGTTGTTAATAAGAGGTTGTCGCTTACAAGAGGTTCCAAATACAGTGATTGGACCAGGAAACTCTTGGTATTTTGAAAAAACTGGTCGCTAAGGAGAGGTGGTTGCTTACAAGAGGTGGTTGTAACTGGAGGTTCAACTGTAATTTTAGAGGTCTGAAATGGGGCTTTGACTTTTGGCTCAGATCTAAAACAGGGTATGGAAAATCACAGATTTTGGTCTAAAATAGGGCAAGGGTTTCAATGTTCCGGCTGCACACCTCACAAAAAACTTTGGGGGTAACCCCCCCCCGGTAGTAGAGTAATTGAAGGACATTTTAAAATTCAATTTGTCACGCTGCAAGCAGAGTCTCTTTTATCTCCTTTTTGCACTAAGTATATGTACCGTAAGAAAAGGTTCTGCCTGTAGGGTGTCACTCTGCATGCTATTTATGTCAATGTACCGCTGACTTAATTAAAGAACTCGTTCTAATTATGCTTTAATTAGTTTGAAAATTCTGTGAAGTGCAATGGCCACACGAATTTGCTCTTAACCGCTTATGATGGCGGATCATTATAACAGTCAATGTCTGTTATCAGTGGGAATTGAGAAAACCCACAACTATGATGATAATGTGACCCTCGCGTTAGTGACCCGTAAATTTTCAGTGTAAACAAATCAGGACAAAAGCTCATATTTTTTGTCCTAAACACCATGTACTACGTGATCATTAAAGTCGAAGTGACCTTGATTATTGCAATACACGATTACTAAGTTGTTTAACAACATACCGGTACAGAAGACCCGCTAGCCGCCGAGCCAGTTCTTTGACCTCCCACGTCCTTCAGAGTGGCTTTGGTGCCGACATTTGTAGTGCTGTATGGCGTTCCCGGCGGAAAAACTCGGGAAGATTCTTGTTTGTACTTGATTTTGATCGATCTTAGAAACCCAGCCGGTAGGCTGTCCGTTCTCGAGTCACCAATTAAATCTATGAGATCCATAACTAACAATTCTCAAGGTTTGTTTCACAATTCTTTGGTCTACTTGCAATCCATTTTGTCGCGTTCGATAGATCCTTGACAACCAGCCTCGTTTTCGTTTTGAAGTTAAAGATTGGTGGACTGGACTTACGCATCATAGAACGGTTGACTGAGTCAAATATGACGAACAGTGGCTGAAAAACTTGATCTTCTGTACTTGTATGAGGTAGCCAGGAGTTACCTTGTAGAGGAAGGAAAAAAACGAAAATTACCGCTATAAAACTAATAAAATGTGAATAGCGTTTTTTGGGAAGAGTGCTTATTGTCCCGGGAGCATTAGTTATAAAGTAGGAAAATGGCGCCACTTAACAGCACGTTACCGCGCCAGCGTATGTTATTAATGGCTTATACGCTAGTAAAACCAGCCTTACAACGTTGAAGTATCAGCGCATGATTTCGCATTTCTCGTCTGTTCCTTTTTCTCTGGTGGTAAAAGTTCTATCCTCAGTTTTGCTAAATTCTGTGAGCACAAGCGGGACTGGAGCAGGCTGACGTGCCGAACAGACTCTCCCGAAGAACACTCGTTTCTACTGAGTCCAAAGTGCAGGTCGCTAACTACTATAACGGGTTACTGAGGTTTTTGATATTTTAGATCTTTATTTTTGAAGGGAAGACTGCGATGCTGTGATAGGAATACGAATCTATTGCGTAACCACAGCGGCCAAAGATGGTTTTAATGCTGCTCTCTTTATCGAAATCAAATTCAGTGGACACTAGAAATACGGCAATCTTTACTGCCGTTGAGGCGGGAGGAAAATAGCAGTAATCCAGAAAGAAACTCTTTGAGTGCAAGTTAGGCAAGCAGCAACATTAAAAGCAACCCACACTTGCACCTTCCTCATGCACAATCTCGACGAGTGAACCATCATTCTAATTAGACGCAACACTTTAGTCCCTCTCAGTTCCAACGAACTACTACTCGTGAACAGAAAAAAGTACCAGTCCAGAACAAAGTGCTCTGCGCTGGAAATCGTTTTCTTTCTGCGGTATATGGTAGATGTATGCCATCGTTGCCAGGCGAAGAGAGCTTCACCTAAGAGTTACTCTAGCCACTGATGGTTATAGACGTTATAGCCTTCTTGCTCCTTGCGCTTGATGTAGCGGACATCATTATACAGTTTCAGAGTGGCCATAGTGGCGTAGTTACTAACTACGAACTGTACGAAGAGGTGGAGATTGAACTGCAGTAGAGCTTGTTGAGAATGCGGCAGGCTGGGATGCAATTCTACGGTTTTTACTTTTGTTTTCATTTTCCTGCCGTACTTGCCTCTTTTTTTAAACCGGAGAAAGTTATCACGAAATAGTTAAGTACTGAAATAGCTTGCGAGTCTGCGAGTAACGGTAAGGTTCAATCGTCGAATACGCTTGCAGTGGTCAACAGGTGAAATAGTCCAAATCTACTTTATAAATATCCCTTCAGCTCCCTAGGGATGTGGTGGGCGGAAGTGACAGGAAAGACCACAATAAACTTCGATTACGTGGAATTACGAAACCAAACCACTCATTCTAGTAAGTTGTGTGCAAATAAAATGGTGCTACAAGTCGATTTTAGAAGAAGAAATTCTAGTGAGACGGTCCTTCCGCTCATCTGTGGTGGATAACAAAAAGGGCAAATGAAGTTATACACAACGCAAATTACGAAACCAAAATGAACCCCCACTAGGACTTTATTGTCTGGTCAGTATAAACCGGGGTTTAAAGTCTATTTTATTATACAGCTTTACTATACAGCTGAATAAAAGGCCAAAAAGGCTATAACACCTTTAAATGCCTTGAGCAAAGGAAGAAACCCTATTTAAGGTTTTTCGACCTTTTTGCGCGGTAAGACGGAAACTTAAGTTACATTGCGTTACAACACTAATTGCGGAAAATCGCCAAATCACGTGTTATACTAAACGTCGAGGAACTTTGTACTGGCCTTTGAAGAAGACCTTTGAACATGAGGTGGTATTAATGTTGCATGCAGCCGTATAGCGATATACCCTTTCCCAATGACTTTTAAGACCTTCACACAAAGTTCTGTTCAAAACTGGAGAGTTTTCTGGTCAGTATATTTAAATCCGGTTCGTGCGTTGCCGCGAGCATCTTACTTTTAGTGTCCTGACATGGCTTTTTCCTCTTCATTTCGTCTGCGACATTACGATCACGTAGTACAAAATACAAGGTTATTCAAGGTCACAACGTGTTCCTGTGTATATATAAATTAGATCGGCTGATTTCTCAGTCCTGTCTGGTAACTGCCGCTGGCTGCATGCAGTGAAGCTAGCTAGATTTGTTGGTGTTGCAGACAACCAAACGATTACTCAGTCTGCACGTCGCAAGGACTCTACAAGGAACGGCACGGAAACGATACAGCCTTTATTAACACTGCTGCTGGTGAGTTATATGTTCGTTTGCTGAGTGTTTTTTGCGTTGTTATTTTATACCAGCTGTGACGCACTGATGCATGCTTTTGTCAAACGGTATTTCCTGGAAACAGGAGGAGAGTATATTATAAACAAACAGAGACGTCTTCAGTAAGCCTCTCTATATATCGACAGTTTTTATTTCATTTCATTAATATTAAAGTCGTTGGGTTTTTGTTGTTGTAATAATTATAAAGGGTCTTCATCATGAACATTTTGCCGGCTGCGACATATCAATTTGGACTTTATACTCTTTCACTCTCAGGGTCAAACCTCGAGTCGCGTAAATTGTAACTTGTAAGTCTGTGGACGAAAAGCAGGTAGATCAGACTATTCACAAATGAAAGCGATTGAGGAGTATTTAAACGCGGTGCAAAATAAAATGCGGGGAACTTTTGTTTTCAACTCTTAGACGCCATTTTTGTGGTGAAAAAAACGGGGGCGGAGTGGGTATTTAGTATTTAGGGTTAAGTCAGTAACATTTCAGTATTTTACGGTTAGCTTAGTATCTTAGGGTTAGGCAGAGAATAAGGTTAAGTTAGGGTGAGCAATCGAACATTGTAATGGTCACCCCGGCTTCGTCACCCCTGCCCTTCCGTTAGCGTTAACTTAGTACACTCCCTTTTTTAATCAGCATATTGCTTCTCCAGCCCGGGATGAAAATTCTCGTTTTTCTGCGATTTACGCTGAAAATATTCTTGTGAGCATTCTTGGATCATAGCCCAAGCGTATGGCATTTCCGTTTTAGAATGTATTGATGGCGTTGAAGTAATTTTGATAGGACACACAACTCCTTTTGTTGTTTCTTGGCTAGTTTTACCGTTTAGAGAAAGGAAGAATTTTGTACGGTTTAGTTAAAAACATATAATTGTATTATATTTACAAATTTTCAACACACAAAATTATATTCTTTTCAAAATTTCAGTCTCGGGTTTGTTCTTAAACAGGTTAGCCTGTTACAGTTAGCTCCGCTCAATAAAAGTCAAATGGTGTCGGTGATTTCGTTTACTCAGTTTCGCTCGTCTTGTCTGTTTCTGTTGTTTCAGCGGCGTTTCTAGTGGTTTCGTTTCATTGTTTCAGGTTTCAGTACATGCAGTTTAAGCAAACTGTGGAGTTAACAAGCGATTCTCGATGTTTTTAAAATGTTTTTTGAGGATCTTTCAGTCTGAACTGAGGTAAATTCAGTTGTGTGATGCAGAGCATCCGAAAGAATGTCGGTACCTATTTATACAAACTAGTTTAACCCCACCATACGATGGGGCAATCTGAAACGTTGCAAATGAAATGCATCTCAGTACAAAGCTTCTTGATTTGCCAGAGGAAAAGTCTAGCTGGCGCAGTTTAGGAGAAACATTATATATAGCTCCGATGTCTATCGGACTTTTCTCATGGAAACCGACTTTCATCTTGTATCGTATAGACTGTCTACAAACGCAGGGATCGATCGAACTTTGCCCCACCTCCGGTTTTACGGATTAAGTTGACAATAAAAATTAGTGACTGGAAGCCAATTTAGGAACATAAAAGATGACAAAAAAAAATCGCTTGCGTAGAGATTCTTCAAGACGAAAAATTCTTGCGCTTTTGCTATTCGTGAGTTCGATTACTTGGCAAGCATTTGCGGTATTTTACACGTTTTTTCGTAGCTTCATTTGTTTGGATATTTTGATCACTGAATCGAGGGCTCTTGTGTAGCTTTCCCTTTCTTTCCAGTATCAAAGTGCCCTCGGTCAACCATTTGGTTACGCAATAGCTGGAAAACACGGTGAGACGAAGTTCACAGCGCAGTAAAAGGGGCGCGGGCAAAGATGGTCAAAGATTTGAGTGCGGGGAACGGTCTGGGTTGATGGTGAGAAGGTTGAAACGCGAGAACGAGGGAACAAGAGAAACTCGGTCCATGAAAACTTACTGAATTGCCGTCACGGTTCATTTCTTTCCCTGGCTGTGCGATATTTATCTTGCCTCTGGCCCTCTAAGAAGAGAAGCGTTTGATGGCAATACAACGGAAACTGGATTATAAGTACATTTTTTGGGTTATAGTGATTTTCGAACTTCGTGAACTCGCACCATATTTGACTTACGCAGATTTCAAAGTTCACTCGTCCTTATAGTTTCAATTTTTTTTATCCATCGCTTTCCCTATAGATATCATTGCTACGTTCTCGATCACAGGTCGTGAAACTTAACGGTTTTTATGGCACGTGCATTTGGATTGTTTGTGACGTTATTTTCGAATCTCGTGCGTCGATGGTGGATTCAGTCGGTAGTGTGCATGTCTGTTTGAGATTTCACCAGGGATTTCATTGATATCAACATATAACATGAGCAAGTAAGATTTATTGTTATTTTTAGCTTTTCGATAAAGATATTTCGTGTTTCCTTATTTAGAAGCTCTGAGTGCGACCGGGTACCACGATAACGGACTGCAATGTACTGGTACGGTTTGAAAAGTGTTGCTTATTTTAGCTTAACATTTGTGCCATTGATCCGGCTTACTCGATCAGTTGCCCACCGATTTATAGCTGACTTAGGTCTAAGTTTTCGCCTGCACCTTAGTTTCGTTAAATGTCAAGATAAAAGGTTAAGTGTAGCTTTTTTTTATTAGTTTGCAGACCCAAGTTGACCCATGATTGGT